TTTGCCGATCACTTTTGCCAGCCAATCAGATGCCAGAAAAGAACTATACGTACAGTACGTACAGTACGTACTGTACGCTAAAATTTTTTAGGTATCATATAAATGGCACATCACTAGGTATGACCGATCGCGGTCAACCGGCTATGAGCGGTTAACCGATAATGACCGACAGATGACCGACCGCGACCGAACCCATCCCTAATGATACCCAATCAAATATAAAATTGCGAATATATAGAGACTGGGTGCGATCTTAACATGAACTTACTTAGCCACAAAATACATCATTTAATTGTCAATATTCTTTTTCACCATAAAAAACTTTAATTAAAATTAATTTACCTCATGAATGAATGACATAGCTTCTTTATGTTCTAACCGCAACGTATTTCTCAGACTCTTCAGTGCGTATAGTTGTCCATTGAACTTAGCAGAATATACATTTGCGTATCCTCCGCTTCCAGCAAATTCGAGCTCTTTAAACTGTGAGTACTGTAGTCGAACATTTTTACATTAAGCTCTTTCAACCCCTTGTCAATAAATTCCGTCAGTTCTAATACTATTTATTATGCAGTAAAATTCATAATGCTAACGCTCTATGTGAATGTATAAATTACACAAAAGCTTACATGTTTTTTTCGACGTAAAGGTTCCTTGGATAACAGATTGATTTAGCCTGTTTTCTTCTCTTTCTGAATTCTGGTCGTCGTTTTTGGGCATCTTTGTTTCTTTGGTTCGAAGGAGTCTCTATTTGTATTCTTATTATGTATCACAAAGGATTGGACGTTATCGTCATGGTTTGGTACTCTTAAAACGTGCGATGATCATGGGTTAATTTATTTTGCAAAAAAAGTGCGGGTTAATTTATTTTGTCAGTAAAAAAAGTGCGATGATCATGGGATAATTTGTTCTGCCAGTAAATAAAGTTAGCATTAATTTTAGCCTGACAGATTTGGGATGTAAATAAATAAATATATACAGGCATACAGTACCATTGAATCACGTGTTGGGCGAGCTTTTTAAACGTACAATTAAACTCCACAATACCATTTTTAATTATATACGTGACCTGCGGGTTCTAATACTATTTTATATTAAATTTTACCTGTGCATCGCACAGGTTTACAACTAGTGATAATAATTATCTAGAGTAGGAGCATGGCAGACATTTGATTTGATTGGTTAATAAATGTAAACAATAAACGTGATCATTAACCAATCAAATTAATCGAACATCTAATATGATTAACTACATATTTTGTCGGGGATGCTGAAATTGGCTGATGCTGAAATTTAGGGTCCCCATTTAAATCTATAATACCTACTAAAATTCACATATACTT